ATTCTAGAATCCCTGAATGTTTACAAAAGAATTTTTCGTCAATGTCTATAATCCCTATATTCTGTATCTGGTATTTCATCAATGTCTATAGTACATATTTCAAAATGAAATGTCAAGGGTCTTTCAGTCAGGTCTCATCCACCATCACGTGAGGAAGACATTTTCTCACAAACGGGAATAAAAAAAACCTAAATTTTGAGCTTCATCGATGTGGGAAAGTCCAGCTTTGTGACTACAAATAGCTATCGAACATCAAGCTGAAACGGCAAAAGAGTATCTAAGCGGTGTTTAGGAAGAGAGATACAAAACTGTTCCTACACATTTGTTCCTGAAAGAAAATCAGTACTGCTGCAGGGGGAAAAACACAATTTTCTAGCAAATGGTGTGGGTATCCATTAAGACGGAAAAACAGACACTCCCCAGACAGAGGAGGTTTACAATCCCCCAAGTTCAGAAATCAGATCCTGTTTACACTACGCTCAGCACGACTATTTGTTAGCTTAACTTAAACACTATTCCTTCCCTATAGGTGTCAGCGTAGCAAAGTGCTAGCTGAGCCCAGAGACCTGTGATGGTTTTCTTTTTAAAATCTCCTGAAAATCTGAAGTCTGCTTGTGCCATTATAACATGTTTTCTCTTGGCGATGGGCTCTAAGAATTTTCACGAAGACAGAGCATTCGCTTTCAAACAAACAAATGATTAGCCTTGACAATAGCATAAACAACCCCTAAGGAATGAGCGGAATGATTGTTCTACCCTGCCGCTCTGGGTTTTTAGCAGTGACATGTGTATATAGTATCTTTTTTAAAGGACTGCCAAGCGTCATAGCTATGGGGTTTTAGGGACAGTGGGTAGTGTTTTAACAGTATGTACACCTTTTAACAGCAACACCCAAGGAAGAAATTGCCTTTAATGTTATGAAATAATCCCATGTTCAAAAACTGTTGCAGAATTGAAAAATCTTGGGTAATTTTTAGAAATCTGTTAGATGAAGAGAATAAAATATTATTCTTTAGAATAATTCCATGAGATTGCAGGGGGCAGGGCAGAGTAGATTGAGGAGAATGAGAATTGCATACAAGTATTTTATTATCAGCTGAATTATTTTTCATTCTATAATCTATATATTAACACCACATAAAATACTTCTACATAAAAAATAAGCTGATAAAGTGGCTCTCATCACTGTTCTTCTAGTTCTTACATCTACAAACATCATCGTAATAGGATCTAAACCGGTTTCATCTGAAACATTTACAATCGAGCACAAGAGTTATACCAGATGGTGTGAATTTCTATTATTTGCTTTTCTAGAAAGAGTATTATCTTTTCATAGTAAAAGAAAATAGGAAATGGGTAAGGAAATAATCAATTTTTTTCCAGACAGCATTAATAAGAAGAGTATCACCTTCATGCAAGGAAATACTTTTTAAGACCCTTCAAACATTTATGACTATATTCAAATTTCAGAATAAGTCATCTTGTTAAAATACCATGTCCTCTCCCACAAGGCCACTTAAAAAAATAAAGACTGATATCAGGCCTCTATCAGCAAAGGAGAGAAGTGATCTATACCTACCTTCCCAAAACTTATTGTGCCCTGAACACCCAAACAATAAAGGCTAATGTAGTGTTCAGCTTTTTGTACTTCTTGTTATTTTATAGAAAGACTAAAAGACGGACAGAATTTTCTGATGCATTGAAGTAATTCTCGGTTTCACTCTGCATGGTTACATTGGTCCTAAGACTGAGTGGAGGAATTTAATTTTCAAAAACTGGCTTAAGGAAAAGATATGCCACCATAGCAAGTGATGGTCAAGATGGGCTGTCCCAAACATGTGTTTATGTTTACTGACTTAAAACTGCACTCAGATTTGGGGTACACCCTGTACCTCTACTTTTAGACCTATTGCATGTCACTGGAGATCATTTCAGATTTCCATCGTATAAAGGGAAGGCTTGGATTTTTTTGGGGGGGTGAGGGTGGGGGTAGATTGTTTTTTCTGTTTACTTTCTTTGCGGACATTAAAAAGTTTAATTTGTAAGAGACAAACGCCTTCCTAGGAACCAATGTGGAAATCACTGTACCTTATTTTTTAAATGCGATGAATTAAGTAACAAATGCTGGGTATTAAAGAGCAAAAATACAGGGAGAATCAGTGGCTAAATGTCTAAAAGGGATGATAAAAAAGACCCAGGGACAAGGGTGGGGAGGGCGCAATCTGTGGCTGAGACGTGAGCAGACTGGCACCTTCTCTGCAACCCGCGGCCTTCTGAGGACATCACCTCATTGGCCAGAGTCACACCATCACTGTAAGTATGAGAAGCAGGGCTTACACCCAGAACTTCCCAGATTGAAGGCCAAGGCTCTATCAGCAAGAAGACGCTGTCTCTCTTGCCAACTATTAATGATGTCGTTATATGAAATGCAAAATTTAGCAAACTAGAAAGTTTAAAGACGTGTTTGGCATTTATGAAATGCCTTAGACTATGATTTCTTTTAATAGTGATCAATGAGAAGCAACGTTCCAAAGTGGAGAGAGCATTGGACCTAGGAAGACCTGGTCCAAATTATCACTTTTTCACATACTAGATTGTGACCCTGGATGATTTACCTGAGCTCTCAGGGCCCCAGGCAGCTCTCCAAGATGTTAAGTTACAGGGAAGCTCTGCCCACCCTCCTTAGTGGAAGGAGTTTCTATACTGGGGGCTCCCTATGGTGATGAAATCACAGGGCTTGACACAAAACCTGTCCTAAAAGCAAGAATGAGTTTTGCAAAAGTTTAGAAAAACAGACACAACCTCTACATGATAGATGGGCAGACAGATATAGAGAGAAGATGATAGATAAATGATGGAAAGAAGATAATAG